CCCCCGGGACTCCCCCCCGAGGGGATCCCCCTCCTTCCCGGGGGACACGGCGGGGCGCAGGGCACCCGAGCTCCCGGTGCGGTGTCCCAGAGGAGGGGGAGCACAGCACCCCTTGCCAGGGGTTCCCCCTCCCCGGGAAGCGGCAGCCTGGGGCGGCGGGGCCCACGGGGGGGCGTTCCTGAAGTCTTCCTGGAGAAAATTAATTCTGGTGACTCGAACTTTGCCACGTGGCTTGAAAACCTGGCTGAAGGATCATAAACAAAGGGTAATTAGAAACAGGGGGAGGTGTTTATGGGGTACTGCAGGGATCTGGGTGAGGTCTGCCCTCGTTTAATACCCTCATTAATGACCTGGAAAGGAGGACTAAACTACACATTAATGAAGTTGGCAGATGATGTTGTACTGGAAGGTGCTGTGAGCTCCAGCAAGCATAGAAAATTAACACCAAAAAAGGGCCCGGGGAGGTTAGAAACATGGGCAGGAAAGAGCAACAGGAGCTTGGACAGACAGGAGCGAGTGCAGCGAGGAGGCAGAGGCAGGAACCAGGCACTGCAGAGGGGCAGGGATGGCTGAGACGAGCTGGGGCTGGAGCCACATCCCAGGGCAGGGGATGGGAAGGGGCACCCGGGAGGCAGCAGGGACGGGTCGGCTGCTGGTGACCGAGGGTGGTGTGGAGGTGCTGGGAGGCTCAGGTGTGGCCGGAGCAGAACGAGGGGCTCCTTTGGCACAGACACGTTGGCAGCAGCTCAGAAAGCACAGAAGGAAGCACAGAAACGATCAAAGGCACAGGGAGACTGATTTCTGAAGGAAGATTAAAAGGCTTAAATATATATATTGCTTGGCTAAGAGCTGTCCATGGGGAGACAAACTAAGAGCCTTACAGATCTGGTTGGTGTAAATAGAGAGGGAGGGAATTATTTAATAGAGTACAAGGGGCATCACCAGAAGGGATGACAGGAAATGAAGAAATGGAGCATTTAGGTTGAATGTCACAAGGGAAAAAAATCCCCTCTGCTGACAGTGAAAATTATGAGGCTGTGATGTGATTCCCTGGAGGGAGAAAGTTCTGTGGCTTGAGATGTTTAAAACCAGACAGGATCAGTCTGAATGTAAAGGGATGAACCACTGGCAGGGCATACATGGAGGAGCAAGAGCTGGGCAGGGGTGCACATTAATCACAGCTCCTTTTCCAGAGAGGTGTTTCTCTATGTATCACCTATATAAAAGAGCTGCAATTTTTATTTACTGCATATATGTATTTCTGCTGCTGTAAAGGAAAACATTGACACAATGGATTATGTGCCAGGCAGGGCTGAAAGGGCCCTGAAGTCAGAGGAACTTTACCTCTGTAGAGATACAGAAGGGCATAAAAGGAGGGTTAAGTGACTGGGCTGATCCGTAGTGTACAGCCTCAGTGGCAGTGTCCCTGCTCCATGTGATGTTCCCTGCAGCACAAGCTCTCCTGCAAGTTTGGCTTCTGTAAAGCATCTTGTATCTCAGTGGCTTTCTGCAGGATGCTCTCCAGGTGGGCAAGGAGAAGCCAGGCCTCAGCTGCAGCATTGCCCATAACCTTGGTTAACTCCCCACCCTTTCACCCCCAGCTCATACACAGTTTGTCAGAAGCTGGGACAGGATCCCTTTGGAACAAAACAGGCATCGATTGCAGCCCCACCCCTCTCCTGCCTCACTGGAGGTCTGTGAGTGCTGTCAACAAAATGAATTAATAGTCCTATTATCAGCTCAGATGGATAGCCAGGGTGAGGAGACAACACCACATCCCAGGGAACTCAAGTAGGCACATTAATAAAGATGCCACACGTTGGCTCTGAAATCTAAAAGCTTTGCTCTGCTCCTTGCAACACAATTAGTTCATCCAAACCCAACACTCCCATCACAACACACCTGCTGATGCCCTTAGCACCAGTCTGTGGGGGCCTGGCTGGGATGGAGGGATGTGGTGTCATGATGGTCCTCATGCCCCCCTTTGCAAGAACTGTCCCTGCAGGAGAGCAGCCCATTCTGTAGCACCCTGCTCTGGTCATGCTGCCATCAGGGAGCTGCCTTGTCCTCCTTGGTGCCAGCTTGCTGCCCTTCAGCATTGGGCTGGGGGTCTGAGGGGGCTGGTGTGACAGGGTGGCACTGCAGCCTGTCACTCAGCTGCTCATTGATGGGTACAGGCAGCGTGTAAAAAAGAGAGTGGTGCTGCCCATGCTGTAAAATGAGGAAAGCTTTTAATTAAAGCAAGTGGTGCAGCCTGCAGCCCTTTGTTTGAGCATTAATGTGAGTGACTTTCCCTTCCCTCCTAGCATTTATAGCTGTCTCTCTTGTACCTGTCAAAAAGTAAATCTCAGGATCTAAAACATGTATATTTAAAACTATAGTATCAGCAGGCTGTCAAGCCTAGAGGTTTTTATTCAGCATTCCTTGTGCAGCAGGTGAGGGGAAAGGACAAGCACAGAATGATGCCAGAAAAACCATCACCCACAGACAGGGCACCCCTTGCTCCCCTGCCCTGCTGGTGCTTCCCCAGCCACCACTTGCACACTCTGCTAGAGCAAGGGAGGAGCAAAACCTGCTCAGACCCGACACCCCCAGGACCCTGTTTCTCAAGGTGCAGTGCAGAGCTGGAGAAAACATGCACAAAATAGTCTGAAATTTTGAAATTTGTTTAAAACATCAAAGAGGAACTTTATCTTTTTAATTTTTCAGAACCTTTATCTTAATTTCACATTTCTGAAGTGTTGTTTTTCCCCTTTCCAGCACCTTTTTCCTTTCAGCTACTAGGTGAAGTAAAATAAATGATGTAGGTTTATTTTTTTCCTTTCTTTGCTTATCCAGTTCTGCAAAACTTGAAAGCTTTTCAAAGCATCTGGGTGTCAAGAGTTACAGTTTAGGTTTGTGCTTTTTTTTTCCCCTAGCAATGTTTCTAACATCACAGCAAACTAGAAAAAGAATAGAAAAAGGAAATGAAAAAACAGGAAAACTTGGAGCAAAATCCCTAGACCATTCAGCCATCAGA